GACGTCATGTTTCGGACTAGATGTAAAATAGGTGTGCGCAAAATATAAAGGGTTATCACTCAAATGTTTTGTTAGAGTAATAAAATTCAACAATTACTCGTGTGTACTCTGTGAATAGATTGAACAACGAAAAAATTTTCACGAATTTGCACGAGGGAAAAACGAAACCGATTTCGAACGTACCGCGCGAGTACATGTCTGGGCGGTGAATATTATAACCAGAGTTTGAGACCGCCATGTCTGGAGTTTTAACTGGGAGCCCTGTTTTGGCCACACAGATCAGACTTGTTTGCGGAACAGCGATAATCGCACGGAAAGCACGGAATTTTGACAGCAGTGAGTGAGCGTTAAACACAATCATCGATAGGTCCAATAAGGAGCACACGACACTAATTAGGAATTTAGTAACTTCGTTTACGGTAGAGTCCGATACTAGAAGGAAATGGATACGGGAGGCAAGGGTACATAAAGTAGAGTTGGCCAGGCGTGTCTTCGGAAAAGGTCGAAGTGTATTCACCACTGGGGGTGCAGGGGTGAGTAGTGACTGGAGCATGTTTGAATCTACGGCTGAAGGTAGAGCATAAGGTTCATTATGGGGTAGGGTATATCTCTTGAAGACTGGTGCGCAGTTTGAAGCGTCTGGGGGTTAGCATTATATGAAGTCACTTTCATCGGCCGGAGGTGTGGAGAGTGACATGGTGCAAAAAGCGGCGGTGGTTGTGCGGGGATGGGTCGCGTCTAAATAGTCTAGAGTTGGGACGGAAGTGGGTGAGCAGGATAGTAGAAGCACTTAAGGGCCTGAGCTGGCCGCCGGCATATGCAGATGTGAGGTTTGGAACCCACACATGGTTTGCGCGTGGTTTCGTCTCTATGGACAGCTTAAACCAAGCCAAGGACGAGTAGAAGCACGGGCCTGAGCTGGCCGCCGGCATATGCGGATGTGAGGTTTGGAACCCACACATGGTTTGCGCGTGGTTTCGTGTCTATGGATGGATTAAACCAAGCCAAGGACGAAGGACTCATAACGGATGCCATATTTTTCGGCTTCTCAAAAGCACTTGATAGGGTCCCACACGTCCCGCTGCTCCACAAACTCGAGTCTTACGGGATTCAAGGGAAAATCCTTCGCTGGATCAAGGCGTTTTTATCAGACAGATCATTCCGAGTGAGAACAGGCTCAACCCACTCTTCTCCAGCGCCGGTCTCCATTGGAGTTCCTCAAGGCTCCGTCTTGGGACCACTCCTGTTTCTGATCTACGTCAACGACCTCCCAGAAGTTCTTGCGGGTCCATGTTTCCTTTTTGCGGACGACTTGAAATCCTGGAGTTCCAATGCCAGTGCCCTCCAAATGGGTGTAGACGCTGCCAAGCAGTGATCGTTGGACTGGCACCTTCCTCTGAATGGTGAAAAGTGCGTCCATATGTCGTTTGGAGGGATTCAGCGAATGCCTTTGTTATGCATGGTGAAAAGGGACCAG